TAGACCTCAGGCTGCCCCCCCAGGTATGGGGGTTCTGCCACACCTTGCACCTTATGGTCCCTTGAACTGGGGAGGGACAGGCAGGGGGCTCTATAATGAGGTAAAGGGGGTGCTGCAGGACTAAACTGACACTTCAAACAGCTCACCTGGGGCTCCTCTTGGTCCCCCAAGTGCTCAGGACCCCTCCCCTCCTATCTCCTATGCCCCAGCCCCCTGCCCCTCACGTTCCTTTGAGAGCTACTTCTGCTTGGGCAGTTGCTGTAGGAGGGGGCTGGGAACCAGGAGATGCAGTCAGCTCCGGGGAGGCTCAATATCCTCATCCCACCCAAGTCAGCCTGGCTTAGCAGGGACCCAGGTGAGGGGTCCCAAAAGCTGAGTACAGGCAACCAGGGACTCACTTGGCAGGTCTCCGAAAACAGGGCGCTTCAGTGAAGGCTTAGCGCCATCTGTTGGTCCTTCTGGGAACTGCCTCGGCTGCACGGCGCGCAGAATGAAGGGCACCGATGATGATCTTGCCTGCGGGTTCTCAGGCAAGGAGCCTCGACCTTTTTTCATGAGTCTGGGACAGTTACCAACTTTTACAAGGTCTCGAGTCCCTTTCAAAAGCTGCTGAACACTGATGGGAAACCGCAGAAAACTCTAGAAAGACACACTTGCACTGGATTTTTGCATATAATCCAGGGAGATGGCCCTCCCCAAGTTGAGATCTCCTTTTGAAACCCAGAGATGCCAAGAGATTTGCCTGAGCTTACACAGGACATTAGTGACAGAGCCGATTCTGGAAGCCAAGAGTTCCAACCCCGGAACTAATGTTCTTTCTTATGCCCAGCCTGCCTCTTTAAGCCTTAAAGGGCCCCTCCTCTTGCTTCCCTACTAGAGTCTTCCAAATGTCTTCAGGGTGTCTGACACCCAGAATGGTGACACCTCTTGTTCCCTGAGGACTCTAGGCTCTCAGACAGCCCTATTTTCTGATTGCTGCTTAGAGGAGAGAGAGAACCTGTGTGTCATGAAAACGGCGGGGACAGAGTGGACCCCCTCCCCGCAGGTCTTGTGGTATCTCCTATGGGTCTGTGATTCAGGACAGTAACAAAGAGCAGGGGACATTTCTTAGAGATGAAGTAGCATGAAGGACGGTGAGTAATGGATAAAGGGGTGGCTAAGAGGGTCCAAGGCCATAATGCTGGGTATATGGGTATACATAATGCTGGCTGGGTATACAGTTGGTGCCTAATAGGAGAGCTAGAGTTGTTGCCATCAAGTCACTAAAACCTGGGTTGACACTCAGCTCCTCCTTCATTTAGTCAAGCAAACTTTTTTTTTTTTTTTTTTTTGGCTTCTGGTTAGAACTGCTATTCTCAGACTTGAGCAGGCATCGGAATCACCGGGGTGGGGTGGGGGGGGGATATGGCAAACAGACTGCTGGACCCCACCCTGAGGGTCTGATTCTGCAGGTTCGGGGCAGGGCCCAGGAACTGGCATTTGCAGCAGGTTCTCCAGGGATGCTGATCTGGCTGTCACAGAACCGGCTCTGGGAAACCCTGGCTTAGAGATGGAGGAGAGGGCGTGTCCTGACCTCCCGGGGCGCCTCCTCCGGGTCCCAGAGTAAATGAGTGACCATTCCTGAGTGTTCTGTGTTCTGAAACAGGTGTGAAAGTGTCCTTGAACTCCTAGAATGTGCCAGGGTCCCTCTCACGTTGCTCATCCGTTCTCCCCAGTCCATGCAGATGAGGCAGAACTCACCCCATTTTATGGATGAGGAAGCAGAGGCTGAGCGAAGGATCAGCCCAAGAACTCATGGCAGGAAAGAAGCCTAGGTCTGTCTGCTCACAGACATCCGCCAGCCACCACACCCCCTGTGCTGCTTCTGCCTGACCCCTAGGCTCATCCCAGCCCACAATTGGGGGGAGGTGCCACCGGACACAGCTGGGAGACCACCCTCACTCACGCTGTGCCCCACCCCCAAGTGTTCTCACCGCTGGGTGAATCCTGCAGATGCCTTTCCATCGCAGCCTATTAAATTAGCCCCTCTCTGCAGCCAAAAGAAGATAATTACGTTTTCATTAGCCCTGGATAATGTATTACCCCCTCCGTGACAGCCACATCGGCAAATGAACCTGTTCTCTTCTCTCGGCTCCACCAGAGGGCCCTCCTCCCCCCAGGCCCACCTCTGAGCTGAGGGGTAAGGACTAGTGAGGGTCCAGGGACAGGGAGAGGGGACAACCCCTTCACCTACCCAAGACCCACACAAGGATTAAGGGACAAGGCCCTGAGAAGACCTCAGAAGAGCTGTCATCACCGTGACCACTTATAGAATGTCATGCAGATGCCTGGAGGTGCCTCTGCCAGCGTAGGCATCCTCAGTCCTGGAGAAGGGTGGCATTGCCACCATCACCCCTCCCCTGAACCTGGAGCCGGCAGGGGAGCATGAGTGCCCATAGCCACCTTGAAGTCACCACGGCCAAGGAGCATTTGGGGGACTGTCACTGTGCATCATCCCAGGAACACCTGGTTGATGGTAAAAAAAAAAAAAAAAAGAAATCTCTGGTCTTTTGCTTCCTGATGTAGGGTCACTCATGCTACCCAGCCTTAATGTGGAAGGTCCCCAGACATCAGGAGCCACTCTGCAAAATGCCTGACTCACCCCACAAGATCGTTCTGCCAGGGTCTCTCTCCCCCCTTTCTCCACAAGGATTCGGGGCAGGGGGTGGGGAAATGGAGCCTGACTTTGGGGTCCCAGGACCTGAGTTCTAAGTCCTTCTCTGTCACCCATCACTGAGAAACTGGAACAGGTGGCTTTGCCTGCAGAGACTGTTTTCCCTCCCGTTAAACAGGAATAAGGAAGAGAGTCGTCGCATCATTTTTATCACAATTAAATGATCTACACCTAAAAATGCCTGCCTCGAAGCTGGCAAATTGTGAAGTGTTCATTGTAAGACAGCCACCATTCCTTACTACTACAAGAAGTATTGTCACTCGTTCCCCTTAAACCCGTGGACCAGCCAGAGTCAGGAGGGGGAAGCATCTCCCTTTCTTTCTCTCTTTGCCAATTTCCCTATCTCTCTTTCTCTCTGTGCATCTTTTTCTGCCTCCTTCTCCCCCAACCTCATCTCTGTTTGCTAGCTCTCTCTCTCTCTCTCTCTCTCTCTCTCTCTCTCTCTCTCTCACTCACACACACACACACAACTCCTCATGGTGACTGGCTCCTCTCCTGGGCTCCGAGGCTCTGTCTCCAAGATCCCCGTCTCAAGAGCCACATTCCCAGGCTCTGCTATCAACTGCACCAGGACACTTGGTAGTGAGCACAGAATTGGGGGAGAGTGGGATTCTGTCTCCCCCTCCCCAAACCCAGTCCAACTCTGCCTCCTGTAGGCACCGCTCAGCCTTGGCCCTGACCTCCCCATCGGATGGTCTTGTGTTCCCTACCGACCACCCTTCTCCTCCATTTCAAACTAGCCCGTGTTCTGGGACAGGAGGAGGTGCCCCTAGTCGGAGCTTCTCTGGACCCCGACTCCACACCCACGGGCAGGCGGCTTGGAGCAGGTGAACTGCCAGCCCAGTGGAAGAGCAGCTTCCTGGCTTCCTGATTTTCCCCAGTTGCCATGGTAATTGAGGGAGCCGGGTTCTGAGACCGACACCACTGAAACCCAGCGCTCAACTTTGAAATGGTTCAGGCTGGGGAAGCTGGTCCAGGACGGGAGGGGACGGGGCTGCCAGGCCGTGGCTCCAGCTGGACCTCCAGCCAGCCTTTATGTCCCTACTGCATCACCTGCTGCTGCTGCCGCTCTTTCCTGAGCATTTACTATATGCCAGGCACTGGGTCAAGGACTGCACCCGTGTGGTCTTGCCATATCCTTGCGATGACCCCAAGCCTGTTTGGTAGCTGAGGAAACAGGCTGCGGATCCTGCCCCACACAGCACCGGCAGGGAGGGGCAGAGCCTGGGATGGATGGAATTTCTCTGGTCCTCCTTCCAGGGTGTTGAAGACAACACAAACCTTTTCTTCATTCCTTCTTCCCCTCCTCACCCCCTACACCCTCTTCCCGCTCCTAAAGTCACACCCCCTTATCCCTTGCTTGATGTGCAAGACGATCTGAAAAGCACTTATTAGTGACAAAGGGGGGTCGTTTTCTTCTTTGCTTCTTTGCACAAGTCGGAGTCTGAGTGGGCTGGATCCCTTGGCAGGGCTGTTGGGGAGGAGAGATAAGGCCACCCAGAGCCAGGTGCCGGGTGTGTGTTGGTGTGTCTGTGTGTGTGTGTGTGTGTGTGTATGAGAGAAAATCCTGCTCTTTCCTTGAGTCCCCCCCACCCCCTGCTTCCCCAAGTGTCTGAGCAACAGCGACAGTGAAATGCAAAATCCTTTGCAATCTGCCCAGGAAAAGACAGCTTTGGAGACGGGTTTATATGGTTACCCATATGTTAGGGCCCCTAAGAAAGGAAGGGAAGCTTGGTTCCCTGCATCTGCCCCTCCCCCAGCCCAGCCCAGCCCTGGCCTCTCCCACATGCAGGTCTCCCAGGTCACAGGCCAATGCGTCCCCTCCATCCTCCCCTCCTCCCCAGATGCCAGGCCTTAGCTGTGCTCCAGAAAAGACCAGAATCAGGCAACATTTCCGGAAAGGGCTGACTCGCCCTCTGCCCACTCAAGAGCCAGGGCCAGAGCCCAGGCCCTGACACCCTGCTGGCTCCTGGGGGCTTCCAGGGCTGCCAGAGTGGGGGGTCTGTATATTCTGCTGTCCCATTAAGGAATATTGCCCCCACATTGATGTAGAGACAGAAATAACCCTCCCTGCCTCCTGCGGGGCCCTCTCTGCCCAAAGAGAGCTGCCCTCCCCTGCGCGGCCACCACATTCAGCCCCCCGCCAAGACTCCCAGAAATTGTGTGTGTGTGTGTGTGTGTGTTTCCTGATAGAAAAAAAAAAAAAATGGAAATTAGGTTATATAAAAGATGTATGCTTTGGAGCCCAGAGCGGCTCTTTTAATGAGGGTTGCGACGTCTCCCTCCCCACACCCATAAAGCAGCCGGGTTGGACGTCACCGCTAATTCGTTTCAGCGATGATAGGATAAAGGAGGGACATTAAGAAATAAATTCCCCCTCACGACCCTCGCCGAGCTCACGGCTCAGTCCCTACATATTGATGCCGCGTTTCCAGCCGCAGGGCGAGGAGCTACTTAGCGCCGCGGCTCCTCGGAGGGGCTGTCGGGCGGCCGCCGCGGCCAAGCGGACGGGGTGAGCCAGGGGCGCGCGCGGGGCGTCGGGCACTGCGCGGGGAAAGCCCGCAGCCAGCGTCCCGAACTTGGTTTGCTGGGGTCGGGGGAGGGAGGGAGGAAGAGGAGGGGACTAGGGAGGGGTGGGGGCTAGGCGAGGGGGTGGGGAGCGATCGGGGAGGCACAAAGCAGAGGGACAGGGGAGGGACGCGCGCGGCTCCTACCCGGAGGTGAGTGGGAGCGACTGGCGCCTCCAGCCGCGCTGGGCTGCCGACCCGGAGGCTTCGGCTCCGCCAGCGCCGCGGCACGGGTGCCCGGGAGGCGGAGGAAGAGCAGGAGGAGGAGGAGAAGGCGGCGGCGGCGGGCGGGCGCGCAGCGCGCTGCGCGGAGAGCGGCCTCGGCGCTGCCCGGCTCCGCGGCAGGTGAGTTCCCGGCCCCGGCGTCCCGCGCCCCTCGCTGTCCCCTAGAGCTCGAAGCTCCGGCGCTGGCCCCCAGGGCGCCCCGGAGGCGCAGGCTTTGCCGAGCGTCCCAACTTGGGTCCGGGGGCCTCCTTCTCTTCCCAGCGGGCGGCCAGCGGCTGGAGGGTCCCGTCCCCAGGGTCGACGCATCCGCCCCGCGCCAACTTTGCGGGGCCCGCCGCCTTCCCGGCCGCGCGCTCGGCTCCTCGCTACGCTGCGCTGGGTAATGGCGGACCGCTGGGCACCGTCGCTCCCCGCCGGGCAGCCCAAGGCTGGGACGCCAATCCCTGGGGATCGCTGCACCTGCCCACCTTCAACTTTACGCTTTCGCGGTCGGGGCTCTCCGAACGCAGCGCACCTGCGATCGCGGTAATGGCGGACTCTTGGCACCGGCAGCCGCCCGCCGCGGGGGGCCCGCGGCCGGGAGGGCTCTGCTCCAGGAACGCTGAGCTCGGGCAACGCTGCTCCCGCCTGGCTTCCAACTTTGCCAGGATCCTTCTTGCGCTCCCGCGGCAATGGCGGGGCCGCCTGCACCTCTTACTTCTGTTCGGGCGGGATTAGGGTGTGAGAGCGCCGACTCCCAGAACCTGGGAAAGTTGTTTCTCTCCCACGAGGGAGGATCTAGGGCTCCTGGCACGTCCCTGGAGTGGGCAAGGGGCGCGCTCCGCAGTGGTTCAGGGACGGGCAACGCGCCCAGCGCAATGGGTTTGCTTCCAGGTGGCCGAGGCTCCCAGCTGGAGCCCTGCGAGATCCAACTGCCCTGACTATCCAGGGTCTTGGGGTCGGTGGGTCTAGACAGGGCTCTTGGTACTTGGCCCTAGAGGACGTGAGACGCTCGTCCCCACAGCCGGGGCACCACGGTCCCAGCGACCGCAGTTCTCAGCGCGCGGGAGATCATGGATAGCGCCGTGTGGGGCGGGTTCCCGCAGAGGAGAGGCGCGCGCCTAGAAGGTGGCAGTGGAGAGAGGGCAGGAACCTTTCCATGACTCCTCCTGGGTTTTAATTCTAGAGCTACCTTTTAATTGCTGCGTGACCTTAGGTAAGTCCCTTATCTCTCTAAGCCTCAGTGGTCTCGTGTGTAAAATGGGGAAGCAAGACCTTTCTCGTGAGCTGTTGTGAGGATCTTAAAAAAATCACGAACGTAAATATGGAGCCCAGGGCAATTGCTCAATACGCAGGAAATGTTGCTGCTGTATTTTATTTGAACACCCTGGGATGGATCCTGGAGACTCCCGGGTCTTGGTTTCCTGCCTACACAGAATGGAGGGTTGGCCCCTGAGGGTAAGAAATGTTGCTTCCCGCTCCATCTGGACCCTAGCAGTCCTGGAGAAGAGGCAGTGGGGTTCTTTCTGGGGGATGAGACTCACTCTGCTTTCATTGTCCAACCCAAACCTGGCGCTTAGGCTCAGGAAAAGTGCGCTACCGGCCACTACCGCTATGGGAACGTTCCCGAAGGCGCCCTGGCACCAGTGCGGTGCAGGCTAGTGCGCCCAGGGCGCAATGTCAGAGCTTTGGTGGCCCAGGACCTCGGGAACACAGGAGAAAGGAGCTGATTCCCCAGATTCCTCTTATAGAGGAATGAGAAAAAAAAAAAAAAAAAACTTCCCCTTTGTTAGAGCTTCTCTAATTGGGATCAGGGCAAACAGGTCTGAAAAGACACAGGAAGAGTTTGGCAGCAGCTCTCTGGAGGGAGAATGGCTTCCCCCCACTGAAGTTTTCTCTTTGCTTTTGGTGTGTGTGTGTTGTGTGTGTGTGTGTGTATGTGTGTTTCCTTCTGTTTTGTTTTTTAACCTTGGGGCCCTGCCAGAAGCAGAGAGATCAGGCCTGTTCTTTGCCCTCCGACGCCTCGTGGGTAGGTCTGAGAAGCCATGGCAGGTTGGGGAAGGTAGACACTTGGCCCCTGCACCACTGACCCAGCCCCTCTCCACCCACCAGATTGCCAAAGCCCTCCGATGGGCACGCAGCTCTGTTTAGGTTCCAAGGTGCTGCCACCTACAAGATCTCTCTGGAACCTCCTAACAGCTCCCCCAGATCTCCTGTGTAGTGATCTGAATCCCACATTTGCCATTGTGGAAACTGAGTTAGGCTCCATGCCCACAGTCACCGCTGGTCAGTGGCACCGCTGAAGACCTCCACCTGGTTTTTGGCTTCCTAATCGGGGATGTTTTGCATGCATAGACAGTCTGACACTTGCCACTCCATTAGTGTACACAGCCTCATTTCCTCATGGATCTGCTCAGCCAGAGGCTACCCCCAGTCGTCAGGAGCATACCAGCATCTTCAGAAATTATCATGACCTTGCCCCAAAGTCCCAGGCCATGCAGACAAAGAGCAAGCCACACACTAGAGAGACCTGTTGAAGACGTCTGCATGAGGGCGAGTTCAGTTCCCTCCGTGGCTGTGCAACTTAGAGTTCCTCACTTACCCTCTCTGAACCTCAGTCCCATTATCTGTAAAATGAGAGCAGTAACTCCCTCAAGGGGTTGTTTTGAAGATCTTATGATAAGGAGTGTAAAAGGGGGTTCTGGAAATAACAGTTTTATGTCAAGACTGGTGATTGGAAGGAAGTAAAGAAACCTCAGGGGAACATCTCCTGTATCAATCTTTTGGGGTCAGCCTTGTGGACAGGGCCACCAGACCAGGCTGCCCTTTGTGCTTCCTGCGTCTCCTTTATTCTCTCCCGATGGCTGAAGCCAGCCCATTAGGCTGTGTCCTCCCCTGGAAAGGACACGAGGTGAGGCCGAGAAGCTGGAATGATGCAGGATGTTGCCAGAGGGTCTCTGCCACCAGCTGCAAGGGAGCTGTCCAAGGTACCACGGGAACGTTGTCCGAAATCTTCCCTTCTAACAGTGGCGCTGATTCCCCAGCACACAGGAAGACTCGGGTCAGTTCGCCTGCTTATTGTGAGCCTTCTAACGCCTTCAGTTCTTATCCCTGAGCCTCACAGTCCAAAGAGGGGAACTGAGGCCCAGAACAGACATGTGACTTGGTGAAAGTCACACAGCACATTATCGACACAACCGAGACCGATCCTCAGTGTCCTAACTCTGTTCCGTGCTCACTGAAGGGAACTGAATGTTTCCATCAGCATAAACAAGCCCCAGAGATGCAGAGTGCAAAGGAGATTTCTGTCTCTTCTGGTTGTCATTACAAATAGGCAAACTGTTTGGGAAAGACTGAGCACAGTTCCTCCCACTTGGAACTTGCTGGATGCCAGCCCTGAGGTCCCACTTCCTGTTGGGCATTGGTCCCCATGGTCAATCTGTTCAGGGAGAAATTTTCTCTTAAAAGTAACCTGTCAGCTTGGTGTGGTGGTGCACACCTGTCATCCCAGCAGCTCAGGATCGTGAGTTCAAATCCAGCCTCAGCAAAAGCGAGGCACTAAGCCACTCAGTGAGACCCTGTGTCTAAATAAAATACAAATTAGGGCCGGGGATGGGGCTCAGTGGTTGAGTGCCCCTGAGTTCCATCTTCAGTACCCCTGCCCCCTCCCAAAAGTAACCTATCAGGTAATTGTAGGAGCTAATGAAACCCATTTAACCACCATCGATATCACCAATCCTCTGGTCAGAGCTCATTGAAGTAGCCAACTCAGCCCCCCGCCCCCCTGCAAGCCCTGCAGGAGTCTCTGGGGCTCCCGGGTCTGTTCACAGGACCAGGAATGGTGGGCAGCACTCCTGAATGCTGGGCCATGGAGCCCACTTGACTCAATTCAGTGAAAAAGATGTATCCGCAGAAAATGTCCCTAAGTCCCCAACACGAGCATTGCCACCAGGGTGGAGTGGGCATGAATGTTGGCATGATCATAGTTCGCGAGGATCAGAGCAGTTGTCATGGGTGATCCTGTGACTGCCATCAGCACGTTTGTTAAATGTGACGTGACGAATGGTGACTATCAAGTCCCAGGCCGGGGCCCAGGGCCCGGTGCCCAGATTAGGTGGGGTGAGCCCCGTTTGCAAAGCCTGGGGTCTAATCAGGCAGAGGGCATCAAAGAAGCCACGTACCAGGCTCTCACTGCAAGAGAGGGTGAGGGGAGGTGGCTGCCACCCCAGGGCGGGTGGCCGAGGGAGTCAGGGGAGCTAGAAAGGCAAAGAATCCAAAGCTGTCATCCTGAGACACATCTGGGACCAGGCGCAGGCATCTGTGGACACAGTGACTGGGCGTGAGTTAGGGAACCTCTGCCACCCTCTGGCAGGTCATCCATGCTTGGGGGACTGTCACTACTGCAAGGGTTATTCAGAGGGCTCAGTGGGACAGTGTGCATATGTGACTCTGGAAAAGGGACAAGGGACATCTCAGTGATCATAATGAAGAAATGCAAAAAAGAGGACCCCCCCCCTCCTTAGGTGGTCCCTTGGACTGGCCACGCCCCTTCCTGTCACTAAGCTTCAGGCTTCTCATCTGGGAACAAAGTTGAAATTCAAGGGCATCTCTCTGTAGGGAGGAGGCCTGCAAATTATGTCCTGGTAGGTTGGCATAGGGTTCTTTTGAGTTTTGTTGGTGGAATTTTCTGGAAGGTTTGGTTTTCTGGTTTGAGTTTGGGTTCTGTTCAGTTTGGTCATTT